CAGAATAAAACCTACAAATAAAGATGTTTTCACTTAACTGTTTAGAAATCTGTATTGATACGCTACCGTAACTCATTCACCCCTGAAGACACATTCAAACTCTTCCAATTCAAAGGTTGGAATAGTTCATTATGAAATTTCAGGGGTGAATGAGTTATTTTGCGACATGATTTTCTTATCCGAAAAGATGCTCCACACCAAGAAACCCTAAATGGTAACAGGGACATGTAATCACACCAGCCAAGTTCTCTACAATGTAATTAAGGCCATTGATGGTCAAAATACAGGTCAATGTGCTAATTGCAGATCATCATACATGTCGAATTTCAACTTTGAAAGTCATCAAAATCACAAGGAAAACCAGGAAATGACTACCTTTCATAAAACCATTGTAAAGATAGGCTGAACTGACTTTTCCATCAAAGATATATTCCAAAGGTTGAGTTCTACTTTGCCAACTATATTTTGTGCTTGTAACGGAAATTTATCACCATTAACATTTTTCAGATTGGATATATAAGACATCAGGTTTGGTTATCAAAACTCATAGGAGGGCAGCGGGGACTGCACTAAGGACGTCGTTCCGTGGACCACAGCCGCTGCAACAGCCTATCTGCATCTGAGGAGCCGTTAGAGTTTGGATCGTGGCCTGGATGGGCCTAGGACTTTAGAATCAGCGAGGGCCTGGTAAGCACCAACTTACCCCGTCACATTGACCAAACAGCGACTTCGTCATTGAAGTGTAGACGATAAACAACTCAAACAACCAACCATTATCAAACCTCAGAAATCCAGAGGGATGCTTGACCCAATAAATTGAAAATAATTTGTAATTTCTAGCATCTCAAATATTCATGAAATTTTTCAGAACGATTGGCAAACTCACAAACAAAATTTTATGTAAAATACTAGCACAAAAAGTTCTATGTTAGAAACAAAATAGCTTATACAGCAAAACTCAGCCTATCCTTCCTCAAGTGTTTTATAGACATGAATGGTAACCACGGAAACATGTTAGACTGGTTTCAGATACCACATTATAATTACCGGATACACTCCATAACCTGGTTTATTATAATTTGTTGACAACCTTATTTACTTTGAACAATGTAAACAGATATGTTTACTTTGATCAATGTAAACAGATAGCTGTAGCACTTGTTATAAGTTTATGGACCATGAAATAAATGCACATCTTTAACAACAGCAATATGTATTTCTATTCAAATACCTTTATTATCTTTTTCGTCAACAAAATAATTTGTTCCTACGTAAATTTTTTATCAGAATTACGTAAGATGATGCAAATAACAACCTGTAAATTATCTTTTTAAAACTTTAAGGACTGCTTCTTCCATAAACGATTCAGTGTAATTAAATTCAAATATGAAAGCCAATCCCATATATATATAGTTTTCACAACATGCTCTACAGAAGAACGTTTCTGATTGGTCAATTTAAACATGTGCATTGCAATTGCGCGGACTTTTGGCGGTGTATCTGATTATGTGTAGGATAATTTGAGCTCCTAAATGGAAAAGCTTTCCACAACTAAATCCCTTTGTATCCGATATAAATAAAAAATATTTGTAAACTAGCTAAACCTGCAGTTTATAACGTGTAATTAATAGGTGTTATTATCTTTTTACAACTTCCTCTTCATGGCAAATTATTTCCATATGCTATTTGGTACATACATACTTTTCCTGGTGTAATTTTAAGATTGTACTTAACTTAAGTTTGGTGAACTTGCATAAATTTGGTGAACTTGCATAAAACACAAGGGGGAGTAATACTCTGGAAATATTCCATGTATTGTCAACAGGAACGGCAAATATAGGTCACTGTGACCATGTTATGATGGGCAACAATTCCTCATACAAATATAGGTCCTGATGTACAGCCAGATGGGTTCGAATCCAGGACCCTACACACTCTAGACGGACACTCTACCAATTGAGCTACCTCAGGTGGGCAACGATCGACCCAGTCCAGTTCCGATAGATATATATAGCATAAATAAACATGCATGGTTTCTGCTCTAAAACAAAGTCTAGAATAGAGGGTCTTTATCTTTACTGTATGTGTACTGTAACATATCTGTGTCTCCCTTGTCCATCAGTGTCATTAATACTTAATCGGTCTAGAGTCAAGCTTCCATATCAACAACGGAACAAAACGACTTCTACGATTGTCGGCGTGCAATACTGTATAATCGTTCCGATATGTCTACAAATCTATCTCCACATCTAAATAATTTCTGAAACATTCATTGAGGATATATATATATAGATCCTTATTACCTTAATAGAGATCAGAAAGTCGACTCTAATATGCACACACACAGGATGGCAGCTTGGAGACACTGCATGACCCAATCCAAATAGATGGGTATTGTAAATTGATGCTTTTCGGTCCAAAGGGATATAAAATTCTCGGCGAATTCATAGCTTTTGTGAGTTATCAATAAAGTGCCTTCAAACACTGACAGGTGAAACTCTCCAGAGCTTTTCGCTTCTAAAGTTGTCTTTTTTACAGCGCCTTACACAATACATCTGAATTTTAACTTAAATGAATGAGACAATTATAAGCAAACTAATTTGACCATGAGAAACTCATTTGTTTCGAGACTAAATGCCCCCCCCTTTAAACAGTTTTGTAAGGTTGAAGCCCTGGTTGTTCGGAGATTCCAAGTCATGCTGGTGTCTGTAGCTCGCTTCACATAAACAACTTCACGATAAATGGCTGCTAATCAGATTCGAATTAAAGCTTGACAAGAAATGATGTAGAAACAGGAGGGACAATCATTTACACAACACTGTAGTCAGGCAGTGTGAAAGGATTTTCAAACTCTGTGCCTTAAAAGCAATAATCAATAAAAAATACATTTCCAAAACTATCTCAATAGCAGCATGTGCTGCCTCTCTGTGTGATTAGCAAACGTGAACCCTATTGTGGGCCATTTTCCATTTTTTACTTTCTTTCCCCAAAACAATTTTTCAATATGGGTCGGTTCTTTGAAACTGAATTATTGTTTTCTCAAATGTTATTAATAGAGGATTTTGAACCTGTTCCCATTGTATCTGATTTTAAGCTCGTTTCATAAAGTTTCAATGTAATGGGAATGAATTTGAGTTCCTTCTTTTCTCAACCAAAGCAATGTTCGATTGGACATTTTGTAAAATATTTAAAGCAGTTAAATCAAAGGAAAACACCGCCAGTTTTATCATTGTCATGAACCAACTTGTATCAACTTGTATTGTTGTTCCAATGTGACGTAACAAGGGTCTGATGTTATACCTTACAAATCAAATCTCTATGTGACAGTGTTGTAACATTGTACAGCAACAATTGGTTAAATGATGAACATTTTATCACCATCAATATCATTTCAGTATTTAATATATACATATTCCCCATGGCCATGGTCCCTAGCTGTGTAAATCTTTCCTCATCTCTGCTCCCTGGTTAAAATACTGCTCTATATATGTATGTAACAGGAAAAAGAGTAGTGTGCCTCTGCCTCAAACCTGTGATCTCTAGGTTCCTATAGTCAGACCCTCTACCACTGAACTAAAGGGAAATTCCCTCTATTGCAAAGCTAGAAGGCAACCATGACCCTATGTACAATTAAAACCTGCCATGCTATTCCCCCCTTTATAAACGAGTTCTGTGACCATCGAACATGGTTCTAACTCCCTGTCACCACAGGGAGGGCCATCATAACGCAGGACCCTATATATATCTACTTGTAACAGGATAGAGAGAAGTGTGCTTCCACCGGGGATCAAACCCACAATCCCTATGGTTCCTAGTCGGATACTCTACCACTGGGCTAAAGGGAAATTCCCTCTAGCGTAAATGTACAATAAAAATCTGCCGTTTATACTTTGGCAAGTAGTGAAATCGTTTTTTTTGGTTTTCGTTACTATTTCAGTTAAAGTTTTCAACTTCAAACATGAAAGAATGCAACAAACATTCATAATACATTGATGTTACAAATGAATTATATTTTTAAAGATGGAATAGTAGAGTTATAGAAATCCAAGACTTTTATCAAGTACATTGTGCCATATAAAATATTGATCCTACAAGTTTGGTATCAATGTATTATATTGACTTTTTTTTTGCATCGTGATACATCAGTACTACAAAATATTATCACAACCCTATCTCACATTGTATGACAGTATTGCAGTGAAAAGTAACATGAAGGAACAGAAACGTGCAATACATGAAATATTTCGAGAGTATACATTTTTGGGGTCTCTCTTCAAGAAACAACTTTGGAAACACATTTCAAAACTTGTCTCTTTCAATCGATTTGGCCAATACATTCAACAAACTGAATTTTACCCCCAATTCAGACAAATTAGTATTTCTCTGTATCCAGTGATTAGACTATACATTTGTAGGTTGTCTTTGCCAGGCTCCCCCCAATTACAGCCCTGGACTTGTAGACTAACAGATGATTATCTACAAGCTCCCGTAGGATAAACTAATATTATTACAACATTTAGTACCTTTATTATCTGCCAGTAGTTAATATATATCTGTACCACGTGACCATGCAGACTAGGCTGTCTTTGCCGGGCTCCCCCCAATTACAGACTTGGACCTGTAGACTAACATGACATTATGCCATTATCTACAGGCTCCAATTATGATGCACCAATATTAACTACACTGGCAGATATCATATATCAACTGCCAATAGCAGTCATACAGAGTAGCCCCAAGAATGCCAAATTGTTATAATTATGTAGTAAACAATTATGAGTTAATAAACATTATTGCAACTATACTTTGTCTTTGTTGTTTTGTATAAACTCCCTGGTGTTTTATGCTAGTTCATCAAATTTCAAATAAGTACAATTTTAAAACTACACCACTAAACGTATGTATGTACCAAATAGCATATTGAAATAATTTGCCGTGAAGAGGAAGTTGTAAAAAGATAATAACACCTATTAATTACACATTATAAAGTCTACACTTACCTTAAATATGAAATTTTCAGCACAATATCCAAAGACCTTTGGTGATATGTTTGAAATGTTGTCAACATGGCTTCGTATCTTGGTACAGGAAAACAACAGAGATTTATTATCTTCATTCGGACCAGTGGGGTGAGAGTAATTCCGTTACCTGCATAAACGAGAAAAGTTGACCTGTATCAATACCTGTGTAGATACCTGTACAAGCACTTGAGAGATAGGCCGAGTACTTCGTTTAACCATCAGCACCCTTATCTTATCAATCAGTCACTGGATACCCTATCAAACCCACACTTCACAAGGGAAAAGTGACAAAGAGGTCCACTTCAGTACAACCAGGTCTTAGAGGATCTTGTCAGACTGCATACATGTGCCAAGTCTTATGGTTTCATCTACTTTCCAGATTTATTTCTTACAAAGTCATTAGATCTACCTGTCAAGATTAACAAGATTTCATCTACCTACAAAGTCTAACAAGATTTCACCAGAAACAAAATTTCTGATTTCAACTACTTTCCAGGTCTAAAAAGACTTCTTTAGGAACAATAAATTATAATGTCACAATCAACTTCTGACGGGAGGGGTCAATTACAAATTGAACATTCCAGACTTCTGTCACAGGATTTGTGACTGAAATAAAAGGAATTGGTTTGGTTGTCTAACATTTGGCAGAGCCTTGGGTTAGTAGACAACAAAATAATTCACTCCTTAGGTTCGCAATTTTTCTGTCACACCCTCAAGGTAGGGGAAGATAATATTACTCTACTGTGTCACATCTACCTGTCAGATTTCATCACATGATGCTGACTATCTACTGCTGATGTATCCTGGATATCATTACCGTATTTCTCCTACATTTAGTCCAGGGGGCCAACACATTATCTCTGACTGAAAGTAGGGGGGATGGGCTTATTACAGGACAACACATTATCTCTGACTGAAAGTAGGGGGATGGGCTTATTACAGGACAACACATAATCTCTGACTGAAAGTACAGGGTGGGCTTATTAGAGGACAACACATAATCTCCGACTGAAAGTAGGGGGTGGGCTTATTAGAGGACAACACATAATCTCCGACTGAAAGTACAGGGTGGGCTTATTAGAGGACAACACATACTCTCTGACTGAAAGTAGGGGGTGGGCTTATTAGAGGACAACACATAATCTCCGACTGAAAGTAGGGGGTGGGCTTATTACAGGACAATGAAAAAGCTTTTGTTGGCAATTCTTCCTAACTGCAATATATATTGATGGGCTTATTACCAAGCATGGGCTTATTGCCGGATAAATACGGAAATTCAATATGTCACATGACATTTCTACCCAGAGTGAGTAAATCCACAGTATGTAATACATGTATATAGGTTTAAATGTCCATTTGTTTATGTTGATAAACTCATTGTTTTACATGAAAAAATGTCACCCACATAAAATGTTGGATAATTGTCTGGGTTTAATTTTGATAGATTTATGTTGGTATGGATAAACTGAGACATGTATTGAGTTCCTGGATTTCTGAACATACAGGAGAATTACAACAATTCAATAGTTTTAGATCTATCTTCTATCAGAGTTAACTTGGTCAAATGAAAAACTAATATATATACAACATATCAAACATACCAGTGAGTGTCCCTCATGTTGTAGAAAGCTTCAATTTCGTCATCATGGCTTCCATCTAAAATAAAACAATGAAATGTTGTGAAATAACATTTTACTTCTATACAAATTTTAACTTCCCCAATAGACTTGTAATGCTGGTACCCTTAGCAGGACCACCAAAATTAATTATTCAAGAGGATGCATCAAAACAATATAAAATTGTTTTTTGAACTTAATAATGGTTACTTGTCTATTAAATACTTCAAACCATCAATTTCTGTTTCAACTTCAGTTTATTTTCTCTGAACAGCTACCAGTATTTATTTTTAAATTTGATTACAACGTTTACAATGTTGTCTTTTGAATGTTACTTAACTTCTATGAAATTGTGCAGGTTATTGATGCTGACAAACCTATCAATTTTATCTTCTCTTGTAAAAAAAACATTTTGGTATGGAAAGCTTCTTCAGTTTTTATTTTGCAATTAAAATGCAATTTTAATCCGCACCAACGGATGGGATTATCATAACAATAAATCATTCCTGGAGTCAGAAAGGAAATAAGATTAGGAATTTGCTTGACGTCATTGTGTATACATGTGTTGTATCCCTATATTGCAGGAAATCTCCTATGCTAAAAACGGGGAAATTGTGTGCTGAGGTAATTTACACTTAAGATCAGAGGCTGGATCATCCGAATCAATTTCATTGTGACTTTGATTTTGTCGATATCTTACCTATAGTACAAAACAATTGTCAGGACCAGGCAAACGTAGAATATACTCTAAGGAAACCTGAGGCTTCAAGAGTATAGCTATTTTTCTGTTATATTCGGATTAATTTTCAAATTACTATTAGGAGGTTGATTGATTGATTGATTGATTGTTTTTACGTCTGCTTCACTACAGAGTAGTTCGGTTATCCAGCAGACGATATTAGGAAGTCTTTGTATACCATCCTTATACACCTCATCTTTATAACAGCATGTCTGATTGGACAATGATGGTCACATGATGGGGCAATAAAACATCATGTCACCCTAAAACGCTCAAGTTTCTCCGATCATATTTCCCTTATTCGGGGCCTCTCTAGAACAATTAGCACGACACATACACTACGACCTAGTTATGAATGACGGAAGCACTCGTCAACAATAGTGTGTCAACTTGATCATTATACACTACTGTAGGGTTATTGTTTTTGATTGATTTATTTATTTTTTGGGCATAAAAGATTCTTATAATTTCCCTTGCAGTAGGTAAACATGATTCTTTGTTTCTCCTCGATTAATCATGCTTCGCTTGTGTTTTTGCCCTAATCACCCAAGTGAGACATGATAATAACATTGGAGAAACAAATAATACTGTTTCCCTACAGTAAGGGTATTATTGATGTATCGATCCTTCTGATTCCGAGAAGATTGATTATAACATATATGTGGCCTTATTCAGACATAGGTTCTTGGCTATCTTTCACTACATCTTTTAATTTGTTGTAATGTTTCAAATTCCTAACTTTTGAGAAAATTTATCAACCATTTATCAAGCATCGGATGAATGACAATTACATGAGCAAGTCTTTACTTTTTAACATTGTTTGATATTAATTCAAATTCATTATTCAGATTCTGGTAAAATAATGCTTGCAACGGAAATCTGCCTACAAAGAACTCAATCTCCCTACCAATGGGAGAGAATTTTCCCTATGTCCTCTCAAATCATCACATGTATGGATGTGATTGGATACATTTTATGAAGGCATGAAAAGTAGTAGTTTCTTTTTGATAAGGGGGAATATTTTATCCATGACACTGACCTTTAACAGGTGAATCCATATGGGTACAATACTGCAATTCCAAACACGACCTTGTTATTGTTTAACAATTACGAACCTTTAACAAGTTCAAATTTTATTCAGCTAAACATGTCTTTACTCCATAGAATGGTTGACTTTGACGATAATTCCTTCCAAGTACTGAGAAACTATTTTAGTCTTTAGATGGGCATATTTTTATTTGAAAGTTCACTTTTATAAGATATACAATTGAAAGGGTTGTCACTCCCAATACACTAATTATAAGCAATTACAAAAAAAAGTGTCTTACCTTTATGTTTGTTCACAGAAAAAGTAAATATCACATTGTTCTCTTGTGTGTTTTCATGTAATTCAAAGTAACGTATAAAAGTAAGGTTAAGCGTTTACAACCCTTGTGGCCCATGAAGTCAGAGATTAACCAATTAAGTTTCTGTGGCATGGTGGCATTTACCAATATGTAAAATCTCTCTCTAAAAAAAGCCAGTTCTCTTGCAGGATTACTTTTCATTTGTACAGCTGGGGAGACTGGAATATTCAAAGATACCTGTCCCATCGCACTGGGTTTTTTCCGTATATACCCGGTACAGTAATGTCCCCTTAATTTTGTTTTGGATAAAACTGTAGCATATAGTGGGGCCAGAACACTTTCATAAACCAGGTAGCTATGATGGTAAGAACAATACTGTACAATTTAAACAATCTCAAGTCCAGCAAGGAGTTTTTCATTTCATATTTATTATTTTCTCATAAAAGTCCAGCATATATATACCGTTATTTGTAAAACCAAATATCTTTGCTGCATGGATATTCTGTGCCAACTTAGTTTCAAATCCCTTCATTTGTTCTGAGGGAGTAGTCTTTTAAAGACTTATCTCTAAATGCTCCTCCCCTTTCCCCCAGGGGCCTACACCCTTCACATTATTCAATTCCCACACTAAAATAACCTTATAACTTTCCACAAGCACTTTTAACTTTACAGCCTCTTGATAACATCAGTTAAACAAATATTTCTTTTTTCCCCGTAAATTTTAACAGCTTTAAAATGGGACATTACAATTACTTTGTTTGGCCTATTGAGGTTTTAATTTACAGAAAGATCAAACTTTCCTAATACGGCTAGAAAAGGGAAAAAAATGACGGGTTTTAGGACTACAACTTTTTTTATAAAAGCTCTTATTTACATATTGACTGGGGGAAATCTTATCATTAGTTTAATTTCTTCAATTTATAATGGTGCCAGCTAGGTCCTATTTAAGGTCAAAGTATTTTCTAATTTTAGCTATGTTTCTCACAAACATAGATAGCTTAAACCTCATTATCATACAACTAATCAAGAAATTACCTCAATAAAAAAAAAGATGACCTTTAAATTGTACGGGTCTTGTAACTTAATGACATAGCTCAGGCAAACCCCACATTACAGCCATGTTCTTCCTACCGTTATAAACGTCGATGTACACAAGGCGCAATTTGTATTCACTAAAGCCATCCAATTTCTCTTTTACGTGTAACATGAATTAATACCGGTGAAAATGTCATGAATAATCACCGATTGTATATAAATTGCAGGCAATCTGTTTGATTTCCCAATAAAAAAAAAGATCTTTTGAAAGAGGTGTGTTTCGAGAACCCCTTAGTATGAGGGGCTATATATGTCTTGAATATACCTTCACATTTAATCATCGAGAAAATGTCTATGTCACATATAAATTGTTATAATTTGCTATCTAGGCGAGGTTATTCAAGCTAATGCACCAAACAACATTGGAAATACTTTTTAAAATAAATTTATTCTATCAACTTTCTATACAAAGTCTTTTAAAGAGAGAATCTAGCTTATATTTTCACACAATAAAAACATTGTTGAAGCATATGTTTTGAACATGAGACTTAATATGTTGTTGAATTTTTAAAAAGAAATAAAAAACAGAAATAGCCAAACAGAAAAATCTTCCTATATGTGAAATCATTTCTTGACTTATATATAATTATGATGCTTGGCATACAGTATGTAAGAACTTCTAAAACATATTATAGCCATGATTTAGCATAGAGTAATCTTTGCATTTGCGAAGAAATTTCATCTTAACGAAAGTATTGAATGTACTGTTTCTATATGGTTAATTCTGCAACAGTACTTGATCAGAAATATTCATAATATCATGTTTAATTCACAGCTTCACTTTACCACAAAAATAACTCTACCATGAAAATAACAATTTGTACAGCATCCAGATCCAAAATAATCACCATTGCCTATATTGCAAATATCAGAACAAGTAGTTGAATATTTTTTAAGATATAGCATGCCATCCACCCCCTTTCTCCTACCCTTCCCCTCCCCCTTAAAAAAAAAAGTGAAAAAAATAGACTTACCAATGATCATTTTATCTCAAAGTCACATCCAATTCCAATAAATGACAATGAAGTGCATGATTTGAATACAATTTCTTAATGATGAAAAAAATGAAAACCTTTAAATTGTTCCTATGGTGAATCCAAATGAGGCAGATCCATATGGCTCTATCAGTGGTAATGGACTCTTTCAACATCTGCAGCCTTGATGCAGAGGGTCAGTGAAGGTTAACGAAGGTCACTTACAATCATCTGGGTCCCTCAAGGGTCAGGGTCTGTCCAGCCCCAGGGGAGCTACACATACCCCATAAATCTACAGAGCCATGTTTTTTCCTGATCTCAATAACCATTATATTAATATGGCAGTTGTATGCCAAACTGCCAACATGGTCTTTGTTCATGGAGGCCACCCTGTGAATCCTGGATCTCGACTCCCGACTCCCACGGAGCTCACCACACACTATATCTGGGGAGGTACAACCTGCTGCAAAAGAGTAAAGAGCAACTTTTATGGATGTTTAATAAGTAATTATACTTTAGAAAATAAGGTGGTCTTTTAACCCTAACAGTAGGTTGGGGGAGGGGGAAATGGTTTCCTCAAAATCCTTCATGCTGGGATAGCATGCATTTGGTTTGAACTGGACCATTGACCAGAGAAACAAAAACCAGAAGTCCCAGTGGACACATTTCCTGCAGTGTGGGGTCAGAGAAGTGTAGAATAGTTATTCATGATATATGGAACAAAGAAAAAGCCAGCAGCAGGCCTAGTGGTTACAAACTCATTGAGGTAATGCATTTTGGAGCATTATGTCTCGCTCCTATTAAACACCATTCTATTTGATTAAAACGTACTTGTCATATGTTTACCATGTTAATCCAGCAATAAGCCCATGTTTAGTAACGACCCAATCCATATATATATTAGTGTAGTGGAACTGGACTGGGTCGATTGTTGACTTCCAGGTATTTCAATTGGTAGAGCGTCCGTCTAGAGTTCAGAGGGTCCTGAGTTTGAACCCCGGTCTAGCCATGCATTGTTCCACTCCTGTTACATTGATGCCTGTGAACATCCCTTGTTGCAAGTACTTGGTGAGTTCTTGGCAAGGGGATACCTGAACCTCGGATGTAAATAGTGCTGTCTTTTGAGGCAAGGGGATACCCAAAGCCAGGTTATGAAAAGTTGTGGCTTTCAAGCCAAGAAAAAGGAAGGAGGAATGTAGGAGAACTGGACTGGGCTGATGGTTGGTAACCAGGTAGCTCAATTGGTAGAGCACCTATCTAGATGTTTGAGGGTCCTAGGTTCAAACCCCAGTCAGGCCATGCATTTTTCTGCTCCTGTTACATTAGCTAGGATACAGAAATGCCAATAATCATAAATATTATTTCCTTATTCTGTAATGCTCCCATCTCCTACTCTGAGTCAAAGATTATGTGTAGGGCCCGGGGCATACATACAGTGATTACAAAAGATAAGATTCCCAAAATTTCAGACATCACAGAGGGAGACAACCTTAGTCTCCTCCAGCATAAGATTAACATCTGGGGAAGCAACCCTTCATTATCCCTGTTGATGACACAACCCATAGAAACAAACTTCAGATTTCAGCCAATACAGGCTATGCCATCAATGATTATAAAATATGTATGGTCTTCAATGTTCATGGATATCCAGAACTGTCTCTCTGTGATGAAAATCTGAATCAAAATCCAAATCAATCTAAATGTATTACCATCCAGTTGGTACATTAATTTACACAATTCTGTTAAATTATGCACATAAATGGATTTGGTTTCATGATATAACACATAAATGTGAGAGATTTTTTTTAATCTGGATACAGTAGGTCGACAATATAAGTCCATTATTATCAGCATCAGCTCAATTTTCCTGTAATATACTTTTTGAAATAGATCTTTTTTTCCAATAAAATCAGAATTTTGTAATGAAGGCTTGTTTGAGTTTACATCCTATTCATTTAAGGACATGCCAGGTTTTGTTGGTGGAGGAAAGCTAAACTGCCTGGAGAAAAAACACCGACCTGCAGCCAGTATCTCTGGGGACTGCCCTACATAGGCCTCGAACCTGGGACCCAGTATTGGTCCTTACAGACCTGGGACCCAGTATTGGTCCTTACAGACCTAGGACCCAGTATTGGTCCTTACAGACCTGGGACCCAGTATTGGTCCTTACAGACAGGTCAATATTACAGAGATGCCAAGTATTATCACAACATGTCTCAGACAGGTGCATGGTCCTTACAGACAGGTCAATATTACAGAGATGCCAAGTATTATCATAACATGTCTAAGACATGTTATGATAATACTTGGCATCTCTGTAATATTGACCTGTCTGTAAGGACCATGCACCTGTCCGAGACATGTTGTGATAATACTTGGCATCTCTGTTATATTGACCTGTCTGTAAGGACCAGCTGTCTAAGACATGTTATGATAATGCTTGGCATCTCTCTAATATTGACCTGTCTGTTAGGACCGCCTTTCATAGACATGTTATGATATTACTTGGCATCTCTCTAGACATGTTATGATAATACTTGGCATCTCTCTAATATTATCATAACATGTCTCAGACAGGTGGTCCTTACAGACAGGTCACTATTCCAGAGATGCCAAGTATTATCCTACCATGTCTTATACAGGTGGTCCTTACAGACAGATCAATATTACAGAGATGCCAAGTATTATTATAACATGTCTCAGACAGGTGGTCCTTACAGACAGGTCAATATTAGAGAGATGCCAAGTATTATCATAACATGTCTTAGACAGCTGGTCCTTACAGACAGGTCAATATAACAGAGATGCCAAGTATTATCATAACATGTCTTAGACAGGGGGTCCTTACAGACAGGTCAATATTAGAGAGATGCCAAGTAATATCATAACATGTCTATGAAAGGCGGTCCTAACAGACAGGTCAATATTAGAGAGATGCCAAGCATTATCATAACATGTCTTAGACAGCTGGTCCTTACAGACAGGTCAATATAACAGAGATGCCAAGTATTATCATAACATGTCTTGGACAGGGGGTCCTTACAGACAGGTCAATATTAGAGAGATGCCAAGTATTATCATAACATGTCTTAGACAGGGGGTCCTTACAGACAGGTCAATATTCGAGAGATGCCAAGTAATATCATAACATGTCTATGAAAGGTGGTCCTAACAGACAGGTCAATATTACAGAGATGCCAAGTATTATCATAACATGTGTCCGACAGGCAGTCCTAACAGACAGGTCAATATTAGAGAGATGCCAAGTAATATCATAACATGTCTATGAAAGGCGGTCCTGACAGACAGGTCAATATTACAGAGATGCCAAGTATTATCATAACATGTCTTAGACAGGGGGTCCTTACAGACAGGTCAATATTAGAGAGATGCCAAGTAATATCATAACATGTCTATGAAAGGCGGTCCTGACAGACAGGTCAATATTACAGAGATGCCAAGTATTATCATAACATGTCTTAGACAGGGGGTCCTTACAGACAGGTCAATATTAAAGAGATGCCAAGTATTATCATAACATGTCTCAGACAGATGGTCCTTACAGACAGGTCAATATTACAGAGATGCCAAGTATTATCATAACATGTCTCAGACAGATGGTCCTTACAGACAGGACAATATTACAGATACCAAGAAATATCATAACATGTTTCAGAAAGGCGGTCCTTACAGACAGGTCAATATTAAAGAGATGCCAAGTATTATCATAACATGTCTCAGACAGATGGTCCTTACAGACAGGACAATATTACAGATACCAAGAAATATCATAACATGTTTCAGAAAGGCGGTCCTTACAGACAGGTCAATATTAAAGAGATGCCAAGTATTATCATAACATGTCTCAGACAGGTGGTCCTTACAGACAGGTCAATATTACAGAGATGCCAAGTATTATCATAACATGTCTTAGACAGGCAGTCCTTACAGACAGGTCAATATAACAGAGATGCCAAGTATTATCATAACATGTCTCAGACAGGCGGTCCTTACAGACAGGTCAATATTACAGAGATGCCAAGAAATATCATAAAATGTTTCAGACAGGCGGTCCTTACAGACAGGTCAATATTACAGAGATGCCAAGAAATATCATAACATGTTTCAGATAGGCGGTCCTTACAGACACTGGTCATTATATTATTACAGAGATGCAAAGTATTATCACAACATGTCTTAGACAGGTGGTCCTTACAGACAGATCAATATTACAGAGATGCCAAGTATTATTATAACATGTCTCAGACAGGTGATCCTTACAGACAGGTCAATATTACAGAGATGCCAAGTAATATCATAACATGTCTATGAAAGGCGGTCCTAACAGACAGGTCAATATTACAGAGATGCAAAGTATTATCACAACATGTCTTAGACAGGTGGTCCTTACAGACAGATCAATATTACAGAGATGCCAAGTATTATCACAACATGTCTCAGACAGGCAGTCCTTACAGACAGGTCAATATTACAGAGATGCCAAGTTTTATCATATTATGTCTCAGACAGGTGGTCCTTACAGACACGTCAATATTACAGAGATGCCAAGTTTTATCATATTATGTCTCAGACAGGTGGTCTTTACAGACAGGTCAATATTACAGAGATGCCAAGAAATATCATAACATGTTTCAGATAGGCGGTCCTTACAGACACTGGTCATTATAGTATTACAGAGATGCAAAGTATTATCACAACATGTCTTAGACAGGTGGTCCTTACAGACAGATCAATATTACAGAGATGCCAAGTATTATCACAACATGTCTTAGACAGGTGGTCCTTACAGACAGATCAATATTACAGAGATGCCAAGTATTATTATAACATGTCTCAGACAGGTGGTCCTTACAGACAGGTCACTATTACAGAGATGCCAAGTATTATCATAACATGTCTTATACAGGTGGTCCTTACAGACAGCTCAATATTACAGAGATGCCAAGTATTATCATAACATGTCTCAGATAGGCGGTCCTAACAGACAGGTCAATATTACAGAGATGCCAAGTAATATCATAACATGTCTCAGACAGGTGGTCCTTACAGACAGATCAATATTACAGAGATGCCAAGTATTATCACAACATGTCTCAGACAGGTGGTCCTTACAGACAGGTCACTATTACAGAGATGCCAAGTATTATCATAACATGTCTCAGATAGGCGGTCCTAACAGACAGGTCAATATTACAGAGATGCCAAGTATTATTATAACATGTCTCAGACAGGTGATCCTTACAGACAGGTCAATATTACAGAGATGCCAAGTTTTATCATATTATGTCTCAGACAGGTGGTCCTTACAGACAGGTCAATATTACAGAGATGCCATGTATTATTACAACATGTTTAGACAGGTCAGGTGATCCTTATTGACAGGTTATAATTACAGAGATGTATGAAGAAAACATTCAGGGTAACTGTATAACAACAGAAGTTTTAGACAGGTAGTCCTTACAGACAGGTTGTCATTAATTTACAGAGATGTATGGAGAATAAATTGTGGGTATTACCTGAACAGTTTAGACAGGTGGTCAGTAAACACACACAGTTCATTGCACGGAATTATATCCAAGTCTGTAGTCTCTGTAAAAGAATGGATGCAAAAGATTAAAGCTAACATTTTTGTCGTTCATCAATTTGATTAAAATACAGATGTTTCATAATATTACCCTATTTGAACATTAAGATTGATTTCACTTTTGATGGTCTAGGGATTCAATTTTTCTTGACATAAACATTGTGACAATTTTATGATGGACCTGGAAAGAGCTCCTCAGTCAATACAGTATGTATGCCAGTCAAAATCTACCTACAATGTAGAGAACCTCCTTCCTCCACACAAAGATTTTTGTATTGTTTCATTAACTTACTTGACCAATTGCAAGATACGTGTTAGCAATTTGTACAACAAAGTATGCATGGGGCTGCAGGTTTTAGATGGTTTTATCAAAGATTTCAAATACTTTATATCTGCATTCAACTGCAGCTATGATTGAACTGAAGATCTTTTATTTTACAAGTTTTGTGTATTTCGTTTTTGTTTGTTTTGTGTCCCTGGGGGTTGGGAGTGGGAGGGGCAGGTTTATAACGTGAAAGCCACGACACATATATCATTATATATTTCTGTGAAAACACCACAAAAAATATAACTTTATTCAATTTTAAACAAACACTTTTTTCTTCACAACCATTTAAAGGGATGGGGAAGGGCTTTTTGGCAAGGAACATGACAATTTGTTTAAAGCCATGGTCTGTGACTGCAGTAACAAGTTGACCAATCGCGAGTCTGGGACAACCTTATCCGACTTTCAGTAATAACAAACAGACCTTATCAAAACCTATCATTTCCGCCAGACGACACCAACTATATCTTTAGACATCACACTAATTTGTCGGTGAAGATATTTTGACCTACCCTATATTGAGAAGTAGGGAAATTTCAACCCCTCCTCCCTTTTCTGTCCAATCGTTGTCTGGCCTACCGTGAGCCCAAATTAAATCTGATTTTTCTCCCATCCTGTCCCCGAGTCTGCCATGGGGTGCTGTAAGGATCGTCATATATGATTAAATCATCAATGAGCGGATGTTTTATGATCGTGTCTGCAGTTTCACCTACCCTGTCATTAACTATGCCTGGTGACCCGAGCTTTGTATTACATTTTACGCCTGTCGACCATAACGGGAGTCGGGTGACAACCACAATATGTAAGCGACATCGGAGAGACATCCGAGATAGGTCGTTAGCGATAGTTTATGATGCAGAAGTGCACCTTGGTCGTCGGATTATGCTAACGAGGTACTGCGCACCTGCAAAAATATTTAAAACTTACGTAAGAAATGCCGACATGTATCCGGTTCCCATCAGGGTTTATTAAAATATTTTTTGATATTAAGTATTCAATATCAAGTTTTGCCATAAATGAAGGCATAACAGAAATTTTTAAAAAAAATGTACGTTTTGTCGAATATTATTTGACGGAAATTACACCTCGTAATGGTTATTGCATTCGCCCGCATACACAAGATTTGTGTCTAGGGGAAACGAATAATCATATTTTCCTGGTACAGGGACAATACATGTGATATTTTACCAAAATTACAACAGAGACGTATTATACCATATATTATACGTCTCTGATTACAGTAAAGAAAAGATCGACACTGCTTACCGTTGCCGTCTGCGAGAAACGTCACTCTGAATTCAGGGGCAATAACTTTTAGGTCCAATGATATAATAAAGATCAATTAATTAAACTGAAATCAGAGACGTAATATATTATATATATACGTCTCTGCTGAGATATGTACGACATACATTGTATTATAATGTAACAATTTCCTTTTTTTGAAAATATCTCTCGGAAGACCCATTATACATTTGTATTTTGGGACTATATTAATTTGGCAAGTAGTCTCTCAGAGCACAGGATAGTTATACTTGATAGCTGGACTCTTTTGTGATAAATTAAAATCACAACCCTATTTGTTTTTAAACCTAAAAATGCTTATAATTATTACAGACCTGATTACAATTGCACGAACTTTCGGTAAAAAGTCTCAGGTCCCTGTGATCACAGTGTTGAACCTGTGTAGACTGGACCTTACTCCCACTATATGTGTATACCGAAAACCTGCGAAAGTATTGGTCCTAGAGAAGACTGATTAGGCAGGTTTTACTTTTCATTTGATGTCTGCTTTTCAGGTGAATTAGGATGATAGGTATTCTGATATCTTTTGTAAATTTTTCCATCGGTTTCCCCCTTCAAAAAATTGACAGAAAAATGTTTATTTTTTGTAAATATATAAAATCTACTTGCAATCATTTTGAATTTTAGGATATGTATATTTCGTACTTTTAACAAAGTTTGCGAATTATATAACAGTCTAGATCTGCTCATCTGATCCAGGGACGTGTAGTGGACACATCCCTGTCTGATCATTTGAAAAGATTTGAGCCGTCAACATCAAACGAGTTCAGTTTACTGGCGAACCTGGTGAAATACATGCCTCGATCCGAAAAGATACTTTACAGTATATTTTGAATGACTACTATCATGAATCAGCCCCGATAACTATGTGGTAACTCTAATGCTATGTCCGAGGCGGAAATACCTTTTGTAAAACAAGATGGAGCTTGATGTGCGTGTTCATTAAACTAGAGGAACAAATTGATTGTCTCGGAAACAAAATACGGATTGAATATGAGGTCATACACGGTTTTAAATAAATGTAGACAATAACAGTTCTTATAACTTTACTTATATTACCACCATACTCAGGGCTAGCTCGCTATATGGGCACGTGACAAATGTACCTGGTGACCCCACCATCCGATACTGTCAGACCGACACCAAGGCAAAGATAATGAAAAAATAAAATTTAATTATATGGTTCAAACTGCTCATTTATAGCGTAAACCTCAAAAATGTGTGTTCCCGTCAGTCACGGCTCGTTGTGAGAGACTTACGAGAGTGAGGGGTGCAGGTCGGGCACTGTGGTTAGGGAGTGTGGTCGGTGGTCCGGGGGTTAACAAGCCTAGTTTGATCTTTAATAGGTAGATCGGTTTCCCCAATGACGCGCCTGGGAGAACAAACTTGGGCACACTTCCCTTTTGTTGTACGTACATGTGTGTTACTGTTTTTACCTGTGTTTTTTTTGTACCTGTACCCTGTCATTACTCTTCAATCACAGGGTGATTAGTGTAAGCACATAGGAACTGGATGGAGTGATTGTTTCTCTGTCCTAACAAGCCGGGGACCGGAAACCGTTCCATCATGGTCATTCTTCCCGACATTTCTAACTTCAAAGAAGTGTGTTTCTGGTCACTTTAAATCAACACATATGTTTTTAAACATGACAAAGAAACGGAGTTTAAAATCTACTTGTAGACGCATATTGATTTACAAGGCAAGAGCACTTTAAACGTAAATAAAATGTAAACTGAATAAATTGCGGCTTTACACTTTGTGTACACTTTACATTTAAAGTTTGTTTGTTCAGATGCCAAAATAAGAAATTAACACTAACATTTATATTAAAATCTCGTTATAACGACCCTCGGTTTTATCAACAACACTTCGATATAATGCCCCCCCGAGTTCCAAGTATGTATATAGAGAAAAAATACTCGTTTATATACAATAAGCATCGATCTTATGTATTTCATTTTTATGCAGTAACATTTTGATATTATGTCATTTCAGTGAGATAGCACTATAAAGTCGGCATCAAATCCGCGTTATCACAAGGAGGCAAGCACACCAACATACCCTGTCTCCTGCATACACACACGCGAGCACGCTTTCACTACACACATAAAGGCACGTTCTTAAATGACCTGATATGTAAATAGGACATTAAGCAAAATTAAACAAAACAAAACCCTCGTTTACATTCAGTAAAACCACGATATAATGCCACACGAAAACATGCATATTTTATTTGCTACATCACTGTTCGTCAGCATATTTCAAGATCCCCTTTTCCTTTTTTATGACCATTGCTTGATACATCTTACCCTGTATATCGACAAACCTCTTCATAACGCCAATAGTTTGCTGTATAAAGAGGACTTATACGTTTCAGTATGCCTGTTGTTTAAATACTCTATGTTAAGGTATACTTGTATTATTGATTGATTATGATTGACAATTAACGATATACTCTATCGTATTTGGGTCAGATTCTCAAATTATTCTGTTATCTTGAATAGTTTTAAAATACAGTAACACTTTGTTATACTGCCACCCTATTCCTAGAGAAATGTTGGCATTATAAAGAGTTTTGGCTATAAAGTGGGGGGAAATGTTTAAAAGAGTTTTAAGAAAAAAAGGGGGCTTGAATTTGTTGGCGGTAAGCGAGTTGGTAAATAAAACGAGGGGCATTATATCGAGGTTTTACTGTATAAAGAATAAGTATTTCTTCAACATCTTTATAACCATACGTACTGTTCATGAATTAAGAATATTCTTTCTTGTTAGTGTTTAGCAGTAGTATAATAATATGTGTTGTCGTGAAGAAAGAGTAGACATTTGCCATTATTTGCTTACGTATAGTATTTCACAGTGTAAAAGAATAAGCAACTTCTCTAAACCGATTTCCTAAGCTCTTGCATCAAGAGGTAGGTCACAATTTGCGCGTGATCTGATCTATGCTTGTGTACCAAAGGAACTTTGGAACTGGCATACATACTGTACATAACCAGACTAGCCAACACTCCCAGACCAGCTTACCCCAGACCAGACCCGGTAACTTCTCTCAGGGAGCGAAAACACACAGGGCTAATTGAAATATTCTTCAGGAGAAATCATAATGGCAAATTCGCAGCATCATGATTTTCCTTCAGAAAAGGATCCCACTGTTTTATAGGGCTGTCCACAACAACCCTCCGGTGGTAGGAACGGAGTCCTGCCTGTTACTGAAACAATCATCTTTTGATGAAAAATTCCATATTACATAAGTCGGTAGTGTGTTTCTTGACGAGGTGATTACTTCAGCATGTCTCCCGCCTCGGTCTCTAATTCATAAAAATGTGATACTCTCAGGCATCAATTATTTAATGACTGATAAAACCGAGATGGTTT